ATCTTGGATGGAAGTGGAGCTCCTATTACTTTGGGAGTTGTTCAAGGAGAAGTTCTACACTAAGTATTTCCCTGATAGTGTGAGGTATGATAAGGAGATTGAATTTCTCCAGCTAGTGCAAGGAAATATGTCCGTGGCAGAGTATGCAGACAGGTTCAAGCACTTGCTCCGATTCTACACCATGACTATGGATGAAGAGTGGCACTACAGGAAATTTGAGAATGGTCTAAGGGGAGACATCAAGCTTTTGGTGAAAGGGCTGCGTATCAAGGAGTTCCCTACCTTGGTGGAGATGGGCCGTGTGATGGAGAAGACCAAGAAGGAAGCTGAAGGACAACAGAGTCAGCCTGTTAGAAGTGGAGGACCATCTGGGTCCCGTGGTGGATTTAGTTCCAAGAGGGCTCCTTACCCTAGACCATCACCATCTTCTGGGTCTAAGGGTTCATCCTTCCAACCCCCGGTGCATTTAGTGCAGTCTAGCCACTCAAGAGGGTTGCGGTGCTATAATTGTGGAGGACCACATCTATAATCTATTTGCCCTCAGATGAGCGGTTACCGGAGGTGTAACATCTGTCGTGGTGAAGACCATTTTGCTAGAGATTGTCCTACAGTCAGGAGGACTGGACCACAAACACACCGTGCTGGGAGATCTGTTTAGAGGGGTGATGCCAGACCACAGACAACTGGACGAGTATATGCTTTGACTGGGGCAGAGATAGTTAACTCAGGTAACCTCATCGTCAGTTGTTGTTTGTTGTTGTTTGATTCGGGGGCAACTCATTCCTTCATATCGGAGGCGTGTGTTGGAAAGTTGGGTTTGTCAGTAGAAGAGTTGAACCTTGATCTGGTGGTGTCTATACCAGCATCGGAATTAGTCAGGACGTCATCCGTTTGTACCCGTTGTCTTATTGTTGTAGAGGGACGTCGGTTTAAGGTAAACCTCATTTGTTTACCTTTGCAAGGGCTAGAAGTGATCTTAGGAATGTTACATATAAAAGTTAAGTATATTTGTTTTGTTATTTAAAAATACTCTTAATAGAAAATAAAATTATATATTTTATTTTTATTTTGCTAGTTATAATCTTTTGTAGTTGTTGTTGTTTTGCATGATGATATATCTTGTATATTATAGAGTTAAAAAGGGGAATATAGTCCATTGTGTCGCTTAGTGTGAGCATGATATTTTAAAAATAAAAACAATTATTACAAATGAGAGTTTCTGATTAAACTTCCGAATGAAAGATTTAAACTTTTTGTAACAATAATTTTAATATGAAATATAATTATTTAAATTAGATACTCAATGGGTTATAACTTTTATTATTTTCTTCTCTAAAACATATTTATTTACATTTTATCTTTACTGCTTTGATGAATATTTTAATTAAAATTTTAAGTATTTTTGAATTTCTCTTTTACTCTATTAACTCATTGTTTTTTTTAGATTCAAGGTGTTTTTAATAGTTTTGTAATATATTATGTTTTTCATCAAATTAATGGATATAGTAATTTTTGTCAAGTACTTGGCATTCTCAAGAAATTTGAAATCTCTCAAGAGATTTGAAACCTTCCTGATAAACATGTTTTTTCTCCTAGTAGAGAAATTGTGTAGTTTAAATCTCCAGACAGTATTCTGTGGCTTCACAACATGCTCATATCATTAGTTAAATGCTTAGACATTTAACTAAATAAATAGTTAAATTTGCTCTATTAGGTTCTCCTTCAGAGATAACCACTTACCTTTCGCCACAGTGTTAACCATCTTCTCTAAATCATTACACATTGTTGCACAATACATCAAGACATGAGGTTTGAGTTCTAGAATCTATGATTTAGGGTTACATACCTTTTCGCGCACCACCATCGCCCAAGAATAGCAAGTGTCAAACCCAAATGACATAGCAACTTTGTTCCCACTATCAAAACCCAATCGCGAACAAATGCATTGCTCCTCATCACCAAAATGCATATCTGAACCAATGAAATCACGCGAAAACCACGATGAGCCATCATCAGACCACCACACCCTCCATCACGAACCACACCTGCATCAGAACACAAATAAACAATGCACAACCCCTCAATCGCATCTCCCTAATCCTTCAACACCCAAACGCAAATCAAAAGCCTAAACTCTGCAACGTTTTTCAACCACCATGAACTCCACCATGAATGAGAGCTTAGTGACACAACAACAAGGGTTCCATGGTCGCAAAATTAGAACTCTAAGAAATTAAGAAATGGCAAGAGTGAAGAAGAAGAGCATCGTTTGAGGAAGGATAAAGAATTAAAGAAAAATAACAGGAGAAAATGAGAGATGTCGAAAATAAAATAATAAATAAAACCTTATTGGCGGTTACTTAATAAACCGGCTGAAATTTTCGGAGATTTTAGGCAAGAAATAAACACCGGTTATATTACATTATTTTTGTAGTAAATATTATTAAAATTATCTTCAGAATTAAATATATTTTATCCTAGTTCTTTATATATATAATTAGATATATATATATATATATATATATAGTATATTATATATATATATATATATCTTATATATCTATATAGGGGTTTGCTAAAACGCGCGTACGCTGTTTTTCAGTGGTACATTTTAAGCAATGGTACAGGATTTTAGGAGACAAAATACCATTATATACCAGGTATTCTAAAGTTTTAAGGGTAAGGGTATTTAATTAATTTCTTCTCAAAACTAAAAAAAAACAAAAGAAACCCCTCAAACCTTACTCCACCTATCTCATTCCTGTTAAACCCTTCTCTTTCATCTTTCTCACTCCAATCTTCCGTATTCCCTACTGTAGCCCCAATTGAAAAAATCCGAAACAACCCTACTGTAGCCCCAATTGAAAAATCAGAAACAATTGCAGTTATTAAAACAATCTTACAAAAAAATGATTTATAATGAGTTTTGATCTTAATTTTGTCTTATCTAATTTTATCCAATTTTCACAAGCATAAAGGAATTGGTAACTGACCTGGAAAAAAATCAGAAAATAATTGGTGCTAAAACATTCTTACAAAAAATGATGTTTATAAATGAGTTTTATTTTATAATTTTTGTCTTATCTAATTTATCTAATTTTCACAAGCAATAATGGACATCCGGAAAGAATTGGTATTGGCCTGGGAGAGGTTTTTTTAAGATGATGGTTCAACATATGCAGATGATGAAATTAGAGGAGAAATTAGTGAAGATGGTGAAATTGAAGAGATCTGAATGAACCTTCGCCTTCAAGGTGAATATGTCAATGACTCAACTCTTTAGAAAGACAAATTGTTTAAAGGCAAGTGTTTCTGATTTTTCAAATTGGGCTTGTGCTACAGTAGGGATGACAGAGAAAAGGTTGAATAGAGAAAGAGAAAGGATTGAGAGAATGAGAAAGGGAGTAAGGGTTTGAGGGGTGGGTTCTTTTTTTTGTTTAAGGTTTTGAGGAATGAAAATGATTAAAATACCATTAACCTTAAAAAACTAGAATCCCATGATAATAAGGGTATTTTGTCTACTAAAATCCGGTTACACATTGCTAAAATGTACCCAACTGAAACAACAGGGTACGCGCGTTAGCAAACCCCTCTAATAGGAAGTTTGAAACAAGGGTATCATGAAACGTGGAACTGAGTGGACTTGGGAGTGCAGACCAGAACCTTCACTGAGAAAGTTGTAGAACTTCAACAGAGTCTAGCTTAAGCAATCAGAGGCAGAAAACCCACTTCATGTGGGAGTGTTGAAACTAAGGGAGTCTTTCACCTTAATTTGCTTCTGTTTTGGTTGTGAATATTTCTGTTATAGCTTGTTATTTGCTTAGCATATTGAGGTGATCTGGTATATGATAGTTTTTGTAGAAGACTAGGAGTAAGTCTTCGCTATTGGAATTGTTTATGCATTGCATTGGATTTTGGTCAAGTTTTGATTAGTCTGGTTGGTTTGTTTAATCAGTTGGTTTTCAACCTTGAAATTACCCATTTGCATCTGGTTTAAATTAAATCCATGTTTGGTATTTTGCTGGAATTGGTGTAAATTTCTGTGTGGATATTTGAAATTAGTGCAGGGAGAAAGTGTATAGAATAGGTGTGTTGTTGTGTGCCGAGTTGATAAATATTTGGAGTCAAGAATTTTTAAGCAGTTAGCGAAGAGTTAGCAGAAGTAGCAGAAGTAGCAGAATATCTCAGTAGAGTTTAGAGCAAGCTAAAACAACCATTTAATTAGGGGAGTTGCTTAACTTTCTTACCTCTGGATTGCTTAACTGTTTCTATCTTAGTTGGAAATTGATAGCATTGATGGTTGCTCTGCTGAATTGAGTGTGAATATTTGATTGCAGTTTGTCATTTGAGAGCAAAAGAAATTTATATAGCTGCATAAGTCAAGAGACTAGGAGAAAAGGGAAGAAGAATCTTTTATAATTGTGGGAAGTTAATCCTCTGATCCGTGTGGAGATAAGGTAATTGATTCCATTGTGATTTGTGATTGTTAGGATTATAATGGGCTAGGAGAAAAAAGCATTAATTCCAGAAAGCTGTTAAGAAGAACATTCAGTGTAGGTGTTTTTTTCCACAAGGATTTGGCATCAAAAAGTGGACTGTGCTGAACCAGGAAAGGAACAGACGTGGCAGCTGTGGTTTGAATCCTTTTGTAAGGTTTATTCATTTTTTTTATGTGTAAATAGGCTTGGTGTTAGCCTACTGTTAGCTTTAGCTTTTGTTTTGTAAAAGGCCCCTTGTTATAAAGTCCCAAGTTCTTGTGGAAGAGTCCTTGGTCTCTTCAAAAAATCTTGGCAACTTTACTGCTTAATTTAGCATAGCTAGGACAGGGGGTGGGTCTTGTTAGCCAAAGCAACAAGCCTCACCATAGGAGTAGTCTTTAATATTGAGTTGCTTTGTGTTTTACGTTTAGGGGTGATTTAGGCTAAAAGGGATTAAACTCTAAGCCGATACCTTAGAGTCTGAGAGTCTAGTCTTTTTATTGTGTTTAATTGTTGTTTTTTGAGTGGTTTGTCTTTGATTTTAAAGGTGAGTTTAGTTTACGGGGTAGGTAATTAGTTGTCGCCTACGGACATTCTGGCAGGCAAGACTTGGTACTTAAGCAGCTCTTAGCTCACTCTCTTAACCTGGGACTTGTCGAGTGAAGTTTAACCCTCTAAATTAAGAAAACTCTTAAAAACAAAATGTCTCTTATAGTTCATATAGGTCGTCTAGGATAGATAAAGTTGATGAAATGTTTAAACAAGTAGGAATCTACATCATTTGGTAAAGATATAGGTGCTTAACATACCTAGTTGGGAAAAAGAAAATGAGAAAATAAATCCTTGGTTTATGAAGAGAGTGAATATTATGTTCTTAGTTATATATCTCTCTAGTTAGAAGAGCATGCAGTGATGTGTGGGATGAAAAGACAATATCATGTTAGGGAAAGGTAGTAGAAAGTCACCATACGTTGATTGGATGATTAAAAAAGTTTTGCATGAGAGAAAAGTTTGAATGCCTTCAGCATTAAAGAAACCTAGAACTAATTAG